GATTCTGTCTCTGTGTCTGTGGACCCTTTATGTTCTGTTCCCCCAGACTGTTTGTCTGAGCATTGCTTTTCCCAATGTATTTGTAGTGGTGGCAGAAGGAGGTGTTTTTAACGAGCCTTGACAGGTGGCAATGCTCAGACAGTGGGGGAGATGGGGGTAGTGGAGGTGGGTCTTCAGTGGGCAGTGCAGGGGGGGGGGGGGGGGGGGGGGGGGCGGGGGGGTCTCCTGGGGAGTCTCTGGGGGATGGGTTAAGGGGTGGCTATCACCGGAGAGGCAGGGGTGATGACTTGGGGAGTGGGGGTGTGTGACTGTCGCCCTCTCAGTTATGGGTTGCCCCAGTAGAGATCTGAGGAAGGTTGGCAAGGCACGCCATTGCCAAGTTGCCTCGTCCATCCACCATGGTTTCCACTGTAGTCTGTGCTTTAGGTCCAATTCTCCTATTTTCTTTTCTGAATAGAGCCATATGAGTTCAATTTTTTTGGTCAGTTCTGTTATTTTTGTTTGATCTGTTGTCTGTTTGAGTTCGTCCTTGAGTTTGAGCCAGACTTTGTGAATGGACATCCACAGTGTATCTATGATGTGTTGTTTTGCCTGAGGGTAACCAAAGGTATGCTCGTGGCATTCGTGGGAGCACCTGGCCCTCTATGCTGTCATGAGAACTTCCAGACGGGTGTATTGGAAGAGGTTTTGCTGAAAGGGAGTCCATTCAACCAAAGTGTTCTGTTTCTGGGCCAGCAGGATGAGGGCCGGGTCCCACGACAGAGTCTTCTCTGTGAGGTGATGCCAGGCTGCGCTCCTCCATTGCCAGATTTGTCTCACCATTGGGCAATAAAGAAGGCAGTGTTCAAGATCAGCTATGTATTTTTGGGACGAGGAGCCACAGTAAGAACTGACAGAGGAGAGTATCCCCTTCTGTTCTAGGTTGGAGCGGGACACCATCCAGTCCGACGTAGGGAGGCATCTGTGGATGATCTGCCATTGGAGTGCTCGTTGCGCAGTTGGCATCAGTCGGGCGAAGTGCGACCATTTAAAGTGTTGTAGGTCTTGTTCTTTCAGGGTGGAGTGCCTTAGCCAGCGTAATTTTATAGTAGGCATGGAGTCTTTGGTTTTGTGAGTTTGTCTATAACAGCCCTTCATTGTGAATTTCCACAATGGTAGAGGTTTTCACTTCCCCCATTTCCATTCTGCAGGATTGAAGGGAAGGCAGTAGATGGGGGTGGACATCTCATACGCCCACCAGCCTTCCTTCTCTTCCCCCACTACTCTGATCCTGACGAGATCAGTCTTCTGCATTTACCTATCCCTATCCGGGTTGCGAGTGAGGTGGGAGAGACGTTCTCCTGGTAGAGCTGGGTCATATGCCTGTAGGTCCGCCTGCTGTTAATGTATGTTCTGCACTTTGTAGATGACGGACGGCAGGGGCAAGGATGTAGTGTCAACCATCCAATCTCCTTTTTGACATTGTGGTCCTTTCTTGAGCGCTCGTTCCCAGACAATCGGGATCGCTTCGTGAAGTTGCTGTAGTTTCTCTTCCATATTTCTAATGTTTTTAAGGCGGTATTGCATTTGGGCTGCTGTTTTCCATTTGCGGGATTGTGAATCCCACAGGTCACCAACTGTAAAAATTCCGTATTTTATCCACCGCAGCCAGTGGGATCCTGTTGCTGCTGTAAATGGTTGGCCATTTTGGTCCAATATTTGTGGATTCCCAAACTAAGGTTGGCGCCAAACCTCATGTCATCTAGGCTGAGGTGGAACCTTTGTTGGTCCTATCTCTCTCCATAGCTTGAGGAGGGAGGGCCATAGTGAATCATAGGTCTGGTCAGCTTTAGTGGCTTGTGCTTGCGAGTGGATGTCCTCTGTTCTCGGGGTTGTCGGAATCGACCATGCGGGGTTCGTTAGCCATTGTAGTGGGTGGACCGGCTGACGCAACGCTGTTGGCGGGGCCAAATTTGTCAACTGGATGTCGGCAAGTGGGGCAGCACTGCCATTAATAACCGTATGATGATTTTGAACGGTAGTGCTTTTATTTGGTCTCCTGGGTCAATTATTGCCAGCCTACCTTTTTTTCTTGGTTGGGCTACTTGGGCCCAGACCACCCGTTTGATGCATCTCGTGAGCTTATGGTCATTACGCCACAGGTAGGCTGCGGTTGCATTCCTGAGATAGGATAGTTGGTGTTGCGTCAGGGCCCTGAAGGCCATTTTATACCAGATGGTAAACAAGACAGCATTGATGATTGCAAGCAGGGTTGTCGACCCCCGGCCTCAGCTTTCCAAAAAAAATAAAAAATAATAATAAAAAAAATCGAAAAAAAAAATAAAAATAAAAATAAAAAAATACTTGGGGGTGCGCACCGCCGCCTGGCAGCCCCTGGCGATTTATCGATTTTCGAGAAACAGGGGGTCCTCCTCCCCCCCC